CCCCCTGCCCCCAGGCGTGGCCTGCTTGTCCCTTCCCCCTTCCCCCCCCCCCTCGCCCCCCCAACTTTCCAGCATAACCACTGGTACCTTTGCCCTTACCGGTTTGAGCTCAGGTATATATGTGTAAATACTGTAATTGTCGCTGTTCTGTGGGGAGTTCAATGTATGGTTACTGATTTATTAGGTGTATATTACTACTATTGTTGTTATTACTAGGTTTTAATTGTTATTGCTACCAGCGACACACATCAAACTTTGTTATTTGCTTCTGGCCATTAATTGTGAACCCAGAAGTGACAGGGACGCCTATACCGTCATCAAACCTTTCCTGTAGCATGGAGTGCTGTGGGGACCAGAGCATCAGGATGCTCTGCGGTTGGCTCAGCCGACCCTCCCATGACAGTCACCATGAAATTTTTAAAAAAGAGATTTAAATTCCAAAATGTTTTAGTTATCCAAAACATTAATGTCTCTAGAAAAACTTGTTTTCTTTATAGTAAACTGCGGACCAAACCATTAGGATCAAAATGAAGCATCCCAATTCTTCCTGTAGTCAAAGAACCTTTTTTAAAAAAAAAAAAAAAAAAAAAAGCCTTTTTTCAACCGGATGTTATCCTACTGAGGGATTTCCTCTACCTTAATGACTCCACATATCATATCTAAAGCTCACTATACTGTTTTAGGCAGCAGGTAACAGCAGTCCAGGTGACATACCAAGCTGCAAGCTAAAATGAAGAAAAGCTACAACATCCTGCAAAGGTTTAACTTTCAAACCGAGGAGAGAAATACTAGAAAGTCTCTTAACCAACTCCAGCTGACAATGCCAGAAGATGAAGACAGAATTATCAGAGTAACAGACAAAACAGTTTTCGAAGCAAGAGACTGTTATGTCTATTAGCATTTTGCAGCTGCACCTACCTCTCAAAACACTAACAAAGCTGGATCTATCGGTATACTCTGTTGTATTTCAAGGCCTAACATATTGCCGTCAAAAACTTTATATTAAATACAACTTGCAAGTTCCTGAAAATATTCTATCACATTGATCTCTACATTTATTTTTAGCATCCATGTTAAAAAAATATAAAATAAAAATAAAACATTAAAAAAAAGCCCCAAAACAAACAACGACATATGGACACAGTTAAGAATTTCTTAATACCGTTTCCTGGATTCTTAATGCTTTTCTTACTTGAAGATTGTTATCAGGTTTTTACTGATACCTTATCAAAATTCACAAATAACATTAGATGCTAATATAAACCTGCATCTAGAAATGCAAAAGCTAGAAATGCATTAGAACAAGATAACACACTATTTATATACAACCAGTAATAAAGAAAACTAAGATCCTGTTAGTGACGTTTCTAGTAAAGGAAAGTATACAGTCCCCTTACTGTGCAACTGATAACCTAAAAATGTACCTGTGCCTTTTCACAGAAGATTTGATTTGTCAGAAGATATGCTATTTTGTTTCTAGCAGAGCTTGGTCTTTATAAATAAATACATATATCGTTACAGCGTGAGTTCTAACATGCTGCTACATATTTAAGGAAATCCACTGCTTTTAATTTGGGCATTCAGTGAAGCGTTTCCCACGTTCCTTAAAACCTAGCATATTTGCAAATGTTTTGAAAAAAAAAAAAGCATCTAGGGTTTGAAAATAAATGTTTGTTGTTTACAAAAAAAAAAAAAAACCTACTACTTACTCTTAAAGTCACAACTCTTGCTTTGGGATTACGAATAGATGTCCCTGCAGAAACATAATCTACTGTTTCAATTTCAATAGGAAAATGCTGCTCGCATTTCTCATCACTGTCCAAAGCACTTGGCCATTCAGTGCAGAAATCTGTAGAATAAAAAGAAAACAATCCAAGTAATATGTTTTCTCTAATTTATTGAAATATGTTTTTAAAAGTAGTTTTTATAAAAAAAAAAAAAAAACTTTACCCATTTAGATAATGGCAGGGTCTCCACTGGACTCACTCCAGCACTACAATGTCTTCTCTGTACTGGGTTTCCCAAAACTGGATACAGTACCCCAGACACAATCTCACAAGTGCTGAATAGAGGGGAAGGATCAATGGCCTGAACCTGCTGGCTACATTCTCATTAATACAACCCAGTATGCAGTTAGCCTTCATTGCTGCTGAATCATGCTCAAATTTCAAATGCCCACCAGAACCCCAAGGCCTATTCCATAGAGCTTTTTTCTAGTTATATGGCTCTGAGTCTGTACTGATGCATGGGTTATTCCATCCCAGACGCAGGACTTGCAGTTGCCTTCGTTTAACTTCACGAGAATCCTCGCAGCCCATTTTCCCAGCCTGCTGAGGTCCCTCTTCATGGCAGCTCTGCTCCTTGATATATCACCTGCTCTCTTGGTTTTGGTATTCTCTGTGAACCCGCTGAGAGTGTGCTCTGCACCATCATTCAGGTTGTTAATAAAGCATGCTTTCATGTGTTTGGGAACAGCTTCCAGGAAGATTTGCTTCATAACCTTCCAGGGACTGTGGTGAGGTTGACTGGCCTGTAGTTCCCTCCATCCTCTTTTTGCCCTTCTTGAAGGTGGTCAGGCAATGTCTCTGTTCTTCCAAGGCAGCCTATACCTGCTTCTGCCTTCCGTGTACTTTCCTCAGGTCACTCAGGAGTTCCTGGCTCACCCATGCTGTCCTTCTGACACACTTGCTCAACAACTTTCTGCACACTGGAATGGATCATTCTTGTACTTTAAGGAATATCTTGGAACATCCATCAGCCTTCCTGGACACCTCTGCCCTCCAGGACAGTCTTGCATGAGATCCTGACAAACAAATTCCTGATTAAGCCAAAAATCACTCTCCTGAAGTCCAGGCTGTAATTCCACCATCCGTTTTCTCCCTTCTCTCAGGCTTTTACACTCCATAGTTTCAGGGTTGCTGGTACCAAGGCTGACCCTGACCTTCACAGACTTTTCTGTGAGTAACAAATCCAAGAGATCATCTCTTTTAGTCAATTTATCAATCATCTGTATTAAGAAATTGCTTTCAATCCACTACTTGCCTTTCTCACTTCTCTCAAGATCTTGAACTCCAATTTGTTGTTGGGGCAACTAGGACTGGTATCAGTTTTCACATTCCCAAGCAGTTCTTTCTAACCTGTGAGTAGCATGTGCATCATAGCACCTTTCAGTAATCGTTTTATCCAGCACCCACATCAAAAAACTATCTGCAACACATTCCAGAAATCTCCTAGACTGCTTCTGTCCCACATTACCCTTCCAACAGATGTTGAGATGGCTGCAGTTCCCCATGAAAACCAAAGCCTGTAAACATGAGCCCTTTTTAGTTTTTTAAAGATGGCTTCATCCACTTCCTCTTCTTAATCAGGCAGTCTGTGGTAAATGCCCACCATCCTCCTTCTTGACTTCCCCTCTGATCCTGACCCACAAGCACTCAACCAGGTACGCTCGTCCTGTAGCAAAGCTCTGTGCATTTGAGCCACTCCTTCGGATACAGGTCAACTCCTCTTCTACATCTTCCTTGCTTGCACCTAAACCATGCAAGCTTTCCCACTGCATTTTTGTGGCACCTCACAGACTTCTAATTCCTCCCGTTTCCCTTGGCTGCATATATCTGTATACAGGCAACTCAAGATGGTCCTCTCATCGCTTCCTCCTTGCGCCTCCAATTCTCTTTGGGCTTTGGCCATCATTCCTTGGGAAACTTGATTAAAAGCCCTGCTCTCAAGTTATCAAGCCAGTTGGCAAAGATGCTCTCGTTATTCATCAGACAGACCATGCATCTCCCCAGCAGACCTTGCTTCTTTCAGAGAGCTCCTTTTATGAAAAGCGGTATTTTCAAATGTGTGCTGGACTGGTAGGCCACTGATTTTCTGTGATTAAACCAGGCTGTAATCTCCTGAAAAATGAGTCATACCCATCACACATATTCCTTAATAAACTATGAATTCTCCTGTATGAAAAGGGCCTAATAGGTAAAATTAGAGTCTTACTGGTACTGAAAACACCACAATACATTTCTGCTCATCCCTGATGTAACTCAATACAGGAAAAAGAAAGCATATACACTTTTGCCCTGTCAGACAAAGGTGCAAGAAAAACCAGCTTTAGAAGTGGCTACTGCCTCTCCTTCTGCATCATAGCACAGTTGCACTCTGAATTGTCTTAAAAGTCCAAATTTGTTTCAAAAACAAACAAAACAAACAGCAACAAAATAAACACAAACAACTCCCCCAAACAACAAAAAAACCTCACCTTTAAGAGCTGCACAATGTTTCTTAATTGCAGGAGGAGTAAGATGCAAAAAATTGGGAATCTGAAATATACAGATTAGAGTTACCAAAACAATAGCATTTTCTCAGCTCATAAAGCAGTATTAAAAAGGGACATTACTGAAATCTGATTATATTTTTAAATTAAGGTAGTACAATATATTTAGTAAAGACTCAGATAAGATGTCTCTCCTCTCAAATCTGATGTAGCAAAAGACTTAACTTAAGCCTAACTGTAGAAGTCATAAGCATGATAATACTAATTAAGCCACCTGATATGGTTCATTTATATTTGCTACTTACGCTAATATTCATCAGAAGCCTTACTAAATATATCTAATAGAAAATAGTACCTAAGAAAAATATTTTGATCAGAGTAATGCAGTTTTAGTGAAGAGTAACTTTAGAAGGTCAACAAACACGAATGGAATGCGTCTTACCTTTATAAGCTCTAGGTTGCCTTCTTTTGGTGGAGGTACTCCTCTCTTCACTGGGTAACCCATTCGAATTGGAAGAGGCACAGAGGCAGGTTTAAATGCAGCTGCTGTTGGATAAACACTGCTCCAGTCCTGATCAACAGCCATCCTCTCAGTTCTGGGTGGTGCATGCTAACAAATTGAAAATGATGGAAATTTGATGGGGAATACAACGTTTTATAAGACAAAGCAATAAGAATGCCTATGAAATGTTATTTCAGAAATAAGCTCCAGTAGCTAGACATTTCAAGAAATCTTGATATCAAAAGCTGGCATTCAGTTTTAAAGGCGTTATTAAGAGAGAGCCTCTCAAAACTTGGATAACAAGCTTTTCCTTTCCCAATCCTTAACTGCATTTTACTTCAGAAATACTCAGAATGAAGATCCTGCTATCTTCTTGGGTTCTTACAAGTCTTTAGGAAAAAGCAAATCAATACTTAACTGCAAGCTCAGTTTCCTAAAGCACCTACGTGCTTGGTGGAGGACAAGGACAGGAGTTTTGAAATTATGGAATTCTGAACAAGTCTGAACAATTCTATGGAAGTCTAAACACGTTCATAGTAACCCCGAAATGACTTGTTATAGAAATTCCAGTATAGGGAAAATATATTACTGTATTGCAGTAATAGCTTATATCTTCCAGTAACTGACCAAGGCTCTCATCAAGCCAGCTGCTCTTAAAAAAAGAAAATAAATTAATTAATATTGAAGGGTTAAACACAAATGGATATAGGCAGTCTGACTATTTTGATATATCAGCAAGTTTGATCTTGGTAGTTAAAGGAGCAAAAAAGCAGTGAACACTAGTCCACTTTCACTGTTTGCCTTTGAAATTATAACGCATGGTAACATACTTCTTTAAAAATTTTTGGCACTTGGAATAAATAAGAAAATTCTCAGTAATTAAATGTTCAGATATCAGTTACTGCGCAAAAACAATTTCAGTTACATATAGTAATAGATCTTTCAATTATGCCAAAGAGCAACCACTACAAATTCTGTAAACCCATACTGAAAATAACACTAAAATGCCTCTGCTCCTTTTAAGCGTAACTTCAAGTTAGTTTTCAAGACTGCAGTATTTGGGCTCAATACAAGCTAATTGTTAATGTTTTTGCCTTTATGAGAACACAGATTGAAAACAGTTGACATAGTAAAGAATTTAGGTACTGATTCTGGAATTTGGTCACACTGGATTGTTTCACCAGTTTCTGGACAGGTTCCTGCACAAACCAGTAAGATATATAGTGTACAAAATCTTTTCAAACAACTCTGAGTTAGCAGCAAATAGTTTCATTTCTTACCGATCTTATGAATTGTGACGTCCTGTTTCTTCTCCATGTTGAAGCTAAAAGAAAAACAAACATTTTCAATAAGAACCTGCTTTTGTGCACTCATATTAACATTTATTCATACACATCCCCATAGTGTAAGGAGTAGCTCAAATCAGCCAATTCAGAAACAGAAGAACTGGCTTGAAGTATACCTTGCAGTTCACTGTTCTGGTGTTCTAGTCTCAAACTTATTGAAGGGCTTCCCCCTAAGTAACTGCAGTGATGTATGAACTGGGTTTGGCTCATGCTTTGACCTTAGTTCTTGAACAGCCAAGGCTCTCCTCAGAGACGACAAATGATCTTGCAAGTTTTTACTCAGAATTCAAATAGCTACTTCACAGAATACTAATGTAACAAAACCCAACACAAGATCTCACAGAAGAGAAAAAGATTATATTTTACAGAGTCTCTATGCAAGACTTTACCCACTCTGGCATCCAAATACTCAGAAGTACCAAAACACATATGTCCAAGTGGTTTGGCCGAGATCATTACGACACAGAAAACAAAGGATACCATCTGTCAAGCCCTCACCAAGTCTCCTGGGTTCTTCTTGATTGGTGACCAAATATTGGTTTTGAACATACCTTTTGTACCCCTTAGGAATGGATGTTTGGGGTTGTTTTGCCTCGTTAATTTGTCTTACTCCTCATAAGTCTTGGAAAAAACTGAATTTCAAAGTTCTTTTGTTCTATATCTAGTTATTTTATGGCTCAAATTCTGTTGTTTCTCTTCTTGCTATACAGTAATCAAAACTAAATCATAAATACAGGGCTGCACAGCAACAATTACATACCCTTCCTTTATCCCTTGTCCTGCCATTCGTTATGGTGCTTTCAACTATACATACTTCATTCATACCAACTCAGCAAAATATGAAATTCTCATCTGGAAGCCATAAAGACAGGCACTGCGCTGCAGGTCCACTGTAACAAGCACAACGCTCCCCTGACAATCAGCCTAGGGAACACCCCTTTGCTCGCTTCTTTCTTCAGGCTGCTTGCTAATATTCGCTCTGACAAAACCTGCGTCCTACACAGCAGAGCGGGTTTTACATCACAAGCTCCCCGGCAAACTTTTGCCAACCAAGCCTCTTTTTAAGAGCCGGCCGAAGGCGGGAAAAGAAGAGGGCCACGGGCCACACGCCTCAGCTTCGCCCCGGCCCCCGGGCGGCTGCTCCCCGCCGCCCGCAACCACCGCAGAGCGGCCCGGGCCCCTCTCACCTTCCCTCTGCT